CTCACTTTGCATGAATCTCAAAAGCAGAATTTATTCTGAAGGATGGATCATGGCTTGCTCCTGGGAAGATATGTAAAGCAGGTAGCAAGCCAGAAACCTCTGCTGCTATTTTCCATCCTGGAGTTACTGCATTGCTGAAGCCCATCACTGCAGCTGCCCCAGCCTGTTGAGCAGCGTGGTGCCAGGCATGGTTTGAGGCAGTCCCGAAGGAGGGCATGCTGCTCCTAACTAATGGGTTGGCACAGCACCCTCCCCTCTGAGACCCCGGAGCATGACCACGCACCTGCAACAGCCAACAGCAAACATCTACCAACCACCACGGTCACGCTCTGATGGCTGACGTGGCGCCTCCCCCTATTCATATTGGACCTGCCATACGTTCAGCAGAAAACTACCTGAGAGACACTTGGCTGGTCTGGCACTGAACAGGGATTGCACGAAAACACTGAACATGTCATCCACAACAAAAGCCTCCGTAGCATCTGCGTACTCCTTAGGAACCACACTGCTCAGGGCAAGGCTGAAGAACAGGCTTAGAATCTAGATCATCAGAAACAACATCAAGAAGTTACTATTAATAACTATTTTTGGATTAGAAAATTTATTTAGAAAATAAATTAACTACTCTATTCTTTATTTCACTTACTTCCTAGAAGAATTTCAACCATACGAAAATAATCTACATATTTTTGAAAACTATACTGCTTTTAACTTTTTAATCATCTAACCAGAAGAACCCAAGAGTCAGCCTCACTTCTGTTTTCTACTTCCTGATATTGCTAGCTAAGATAACTACCTAGTTTTTAAAAAAAATATGCAATAACTAAATAATAGCTTTGGTAGCACTACAATGGCCTAATATGTAGGTTTAAAGCTTTAGTACTATCCAAAGTGTAAGAGCAACTGTTCGTGTCTGAGGTATTAACTAATATCTTATCATAGAAGTGTGAAGATTAAAGGCTTATGATTTCAAAAATTAATACTTAATTAAATACCTGGAGAAACTAATTCATCAAAATCTTAGGTTACGCCTATCAAGTTAAGCTTTAGTATAGAATCAGCACCAAAATTTTTTTTTATATGTAAGACTAATAAAAAAATGAAGGATAAAGTTTTTAGAAAACCCAAACAGGCAAACCCTTTCTTCACACAAGTTTGAGCCATTTCCACAAGCTTTAATCTTGTTTTTATGTAAGAGTTGGCCTCGTTTCATCACTGTCCTTTAACTGCAAAAGCAACTAAAATGCTTGCATGCATGTTCAAAAACTTGAAGACATTTTTAATTGTTCTTTAAGTGTGAAGAGAACAGCATGTTTATTATATGCAAAGGAAAAAGCTGTAGAAAGAAATGCTGCTGTACTTTAAAAGCAGCCGTGACCACATTGCTTATGAATATCATCCTTCCTGATCTAGACACTGGCTTTTCAGCTGCTACTGCCCAAAGGCATCAACAACAAAGCTGCTTTAATCATCTCAGAGCTTGCTTTTTCTCCCCTTAATATCAATAAAATTTCTATCAGATGCAAAGACTGTCTTATAATTTGTGGCCAAGCTGCACTAATTAAAGAACCTCCAATCTTCAAGATTTCGGAAAATATCAAGTACAAAAGAGCAGCAGACTCCACACTTACAGCGTGCCTCTCAATTACAGTTTTTTTGGCAAATGTGAGCGTATTTCTCACTTTTTCTATTGAGAAGAAGCTCTTTTTGTTGATACCTGTGCTTCATTCAACATTGTACGTAGTTTCTTCCACACGGACAGCAGAAAAGCATGAAAAATGCCACATGCCTTCCCCCACCAGCCGACGGTTTCCCTTCACTCATACTACCCGAAAAAGACCTTCTTTCCCAGAAAGAAACCACCTTTCAGTTTTGAAACCCAGGCTCTGTAGCAAGCGTTATCATCTTTAAGGTTAGTTCTTGTGCAAGCAATACAGTTTGCTTTGGTTTA